TTTAAGTAATGGTTCGCGTAAAAACTACCGGGAGAACAATAGGCCAAGTGCAGCAGGAGCCGTTTGGGTTTCCGGGCTGATCCAATTATTTCTTGCGTTTTCATTGGTTGATTGGTCGTTTAGCGCGAAATTCAAATTGAAATGTAAAAATGCTAGATTTCGGTAGAGACTTTATGGAGACAAAAAACAGGAAACTGTAATGTTTTGGTCCTTCCGCTCGTGTGCGAACTTTCGAGAAGATCGTATGTGTGGAAGGTTTCCAAAATACCATTTTAGCTTGCTTGTTGGATAGATTCAATAATTTGATGCCTGATTTAGACACTTTTTGCCACCTCGTTTGAAACAAGATCCACAACCACTGGGGATTGACAACGAAAACACGTGTACATCGCGGCAGGACAGCGCACTCGATTGATCACGTCTCCAGAATTCTCCCGCTTACAAGTCTGAAGGAGTGTTTTTATTACTTTGCAAAATGACTGACCGGTAAGGAAACATTATTTTTCAATACAAGTTACAATAGGACGAAGATTTCTTACTTTTTTTCTGTCTTTTTTGTTAGAAAACGTCCCTTGTCGTCGCCTTCCGCTGGAGAAGAAGCTCCGCGTGCAAAAGTGGCAAAAAGTACGACCTCGGTAAGCAAGAAATCGTTCAAACACTTCGTTTTCAAGGCTCCATCATATTTGATATCCATCAAAAATAAAACTAGAAAAGTCAAATATTCCTCATTATCATTGCCTGTTGAATTTTGTGTTGTGATAATATTTTCACTACTTGCGGTATTGTTATTTTGTAGAAAGCCAGCCTAATCCGCTTGTACGGGAATAACTATAAGTCCAATGGCAAAATACGTACGACCCAAGAAATAATGAACGGCAAAGATTTCAAGGCGGTTGCAGGAATGCTTCATGTGGCCGAAGCGACAGCGCAAATATACGCCATCGATTCTTTTGCTGCGGGGGCGCCCATTGACCACGTGCGGCTGGCAAACCTCCTCCAAGTAACCGAAGAAAATTTTGAAGCAATACGGAACTGCATTGAAAAGAACAAAGACCACAAGCTTCGGTCGATACGAGACGAACTGGTAGTTTTTTCCTACAATCAAATAAGATTTGTTCTGGCTTGTATGATCAGGGATTTGACCCTGTAAGTTCTTTTGCATACCGGAAGGCAAGGAAGGTTTTTCTTGTATGACTTCCGGTTTCATAGATGTTGCTATAGGAACACTTTTGGCTAGGGTTAGAAACAGAACCAATACACCTAGTTAAGAAAAGTTGTCACTGTGAAAAGCAACCTAAAGGTAACCGGGAAGCTGAATAATTTCCTTCTGAATGTTGCATAAATTGTGTTCTAAAATGTCTCAAACAAAGGAAACGTCTTGATTAGATTGCCAGTGCTGTCCACCCAGAATTCCTATCAGTGAGATCATTCATGGTTTTTGCTTTTCATGAGTCAACGTTACTTCAATTAGGTGTTCAAATAATCTTAGGCCAAAGGATATTTTCGTATATATATATATATTTTTTTTTTTTTCAAATGTTTGTTTATTTCATTCACTTGTTGTGAAAAATCATCCTTCATCACTATGTACCTTTATACACAGTGGCGAACAAGTATAATTATGTAAAAATATTGAAATATAACCCGTTTTTTGATTGATAAGAAAATCAGTGTTTTTATGACAAATAAAATCCAAACTGGAGCATATGCAGTCCTTCCCTGCTTGTATACCTCTTACTTCATGAAAGATCTACAGTTTCTCACGTAATAGTTTATTGCCTGCAACTTTCATATAAGTTTTTGAAGTCATGTCACTTGACAAAAGTGACAAATAACAAACACTAACCTTAAGTGCCATCAGTTATTGTTTCCATGACAAAACATTTGTATGCCAAAAATGACATTTTTGAACATCACTTCCCAACCCCCCCCCCCCCCCCCAACCCAAAAAAAAAAAAAAAACAAAAAAAATATATTTTCACAAAAATTAAAAAAGAAAAACATAAATATTAAAACAAAAAAAAAAAAGAATCAACCCCAAAAAAGAACTAACAAAAACGACGAAATACAAAGAAGTATAGACATTTCCCCTTCCGTCCTACCCTGAAATTTTAAATAAGTTTTTTAAATCAATTCCCATAAAAAAAAGAAAAAAAAAAAAAAACCAACCCTTAAGTCCAACCATTTATTTTTTCCATAAAAAAACATTTTAATCCAAAAAATACCTTTTTTAAAAACCCCTCCCCACCCCCCCCCCCCGACCCAACCGCAAAAAAAACAATGAGGCAAAAATATTATTTTCCTCAATAATTCAAGAGTAATAACTGTATTCTTCAAAGCTATAAAAGATTGCATGCACCCAGCAAGAGTTCTTACTCAAAGATGGACCATCAGGGTTTTTATGAGGGGGTGTGGGAGGGGTTTTTTTAGGCAATTACCACAAGTAAAAACTCATGAACAGCAAAAACTCGTGAAAAGCCAGCTACGATCAAATAAAATCAAATAATCCAAAAAGAAATATTTGTACAACCTGAAATTGAAAAAAAAAAACAATAAATGCTGAGAAACATTGCCAATCGCTACCCCCTTCTCCACCCCCTCACTCCTACACAAAATATAAACAGCAATCCATAATGAGGTTCTGGCTACACACAATTCTAGTGACTGACAACAAAGGTTTTCTTAGGCAGGTGACTTCTGCCATGTAGTAAATAAAAATGCTGCCATTGGCTAGCTTGCATATTATACAGTACTATAGAAAATGGGAGTGACAGAACAGGCTCTCAAATCGCATTGCCATGTCTCTCGGAACATAGTTCTGACCCACTTGGCTAACATCCTTGTACACTTTGAAGGGCAATAAGCAATCATTGCTCCTACGTTTACATGCCTATGTGAGTCCACTATCATACATGATCGATCTTTATTTACAATAAAAAGGAAACTTCTCCCTCTAGTGACCACCACATTGCAACTGGATGGTGGGGTAGACGTACTCAACATTTCCATTACTTCTGCCAATTGATCTTCGCAGTCGCTTCCAATAAGATCAAGACCTTGTCCTATGTACTGAACAAAGCATTCTGTCCCTGCCATTTCCACAGCATCTTCCACGGCCACATCCACTCCCTCTCCTTCGAACAATTCATCATGGATTTCATTTCCCTTTTTCATTGCTTTGTACAGTGCAGACTTCCACTCCATTGAAAGAACACTGTGGAGTGGAGGTGGCAACTTCCAATGGAGGTAGAGGTGTCCAAAGTACAAGGCAATGAAAGTACAAGCATTACTGCCACTTCTTCCTCCTAAAGTTGACTGGCAGAAGTCTGCTGGGAAGGTCCACTGTAATATGTCTGTTAAGCCGGGAACTGTGTACCCTGTAATTACACCAAAGGGGGCTGTAGCAGAACGTGAAGTGTTGTTTAGAACCAGGGTAGGCTGTATAGTTGACTGGGACACAGTGGTAGGAACTGTTGAGGTATGGGCACACACAGGGTTAGGCTGCCGTCTAGGCACAGGAGCGGGCTGCTGTACAGATGTTGTCGAGCCAGGGACAGACACAGGAGCGGGCTGCTGTACAGGAACTGTCGAGCCAGGGACAGAGACAGGAGTGGGGTGCTGTACGGGAACTGTCGAGCCAGGGACGGAAATTGGGGTGGGCTGCTGTACAGGAACTGTCAAGCCAGGGACGGAAACAGGAGTGGGTTGCTGTACAGGAACTGTTGAGCCAGGGACGGAAACAGGAGTGAGCTCCTGTACAGGAACTGTCGAGCCAGGGACGGAAACAGGAGTGGGCTGCTGTACAGGAACTGTCAAGCCAGGGCCAGACACAGGAGTGGCCGGCAGTACAGGAACTGTTGAGCCAGGGACGGAAACAGGAGTGGGCTGCTGTACAGGAACTGTTGAGCCAGGGACGGAAACAGGAGTGGGCTGCTGTACAGGAACTGTCGAGCCAGGGACGGAAACAGGAGTGGGCTGCTGTACAGGAACTGTCGAGCCAGGGACAGAAACAGGAGTGGGCTGCTGTACAGGTACTGTCGAGCCAGGGACAGACACAGGAGTGGTCGAGCCAGGGATGCTTGGAGACGGATTACTCCTTTGCAAATGACATGCTTCCTCTTGCAAGACATTCAAAGTTTGTTTCCTTTTCTGATGGTAGGTACTCCACCAGCTACGGATTTGTGTCTCTTTAAGGAGTTCTACACCCCCGTCTCTCATACATGCAATGACATCTTTTGGATCGGCTCTGACACCACTTGATGCTTGTCGGTTGTAAAAAGATATCATTATTTCTTTTTGAGCCAAGGAGAAAATTACTCTCTTACCAGAGGATTTCTTTAAAGCATATCCATTAGATGGCTGCAGATTTGTGGTAATCCTTCCACTCGGAAAAAAGGATGGGGACTGTAGTGGCTCAGGTGCATGGTTTATAAAACGTACACTATATACATCCTGGCTGGAGAGACTTTGTAAGCCCTCTTCTCTGGTTTGTGGTACTGGTAATTGCGAAGAGATGGAAGAGCCTGTTGAGCCAGCCATGGGGGAATTTCTTGTAGTGATCTTTTGAATCTGAACCTTTGTCTTTTTGACAACTTTGCCAATACCAGCCAAGGAATGTGCGATGATGCCCCCAGCAAATTCTCCTTGAAGAGGAAATATGAAGTTCCCAAATAAGGAAATATCCTTGAAGGTGCCCATTTTCTTAGGAGCTCTACTTCTTTCGATGGACAACTGGAAACATGATACATTCTTCATGCTCTATTTCAAAAAGAAAGAAAAAAGAAAAAAAAAATAACAATGTGCTGTGTATATCAAAGCTGACTAATATACTTTTGTTCCTTTACTCAAAAAGGTGTATCTATCATCACCTGGGGACAGTCACCCCTTACTTTGAGTTATGTTTACCATTTTTGTCTGCTATGTCATCATTATTCAGCCTGTGTACTTTTTGTTATAAATTATTTTGAATTGGATAGAGGGGGCATTGAATTTGGGTTGCTCAACTTAGGGACAGTGCTTATTGGGCACTAAATAAGGATATGTGCCTAGTTTATATTAAGGAGCTTTTTAGAGTGACCAAATATTAGAAGGAGGCTCCTAAAGTGAATCACTACAATACCTGTGTAATGCCAGCAAAAACCTAAGTTCCATTTTTGATTATTTATGAAAATAAATATGCTGCTCAAGTATCAAAAAATTAATGAAATATGTGCATACAGTGTAGCAAAACATCAGAAGCCATATTCACTATATGTTCTTAACTGCATTGAATTTACCTGCACAAGCTGTCCAAGCTCCTCTCCAGTTTCCAGATCATTGCCCAGGCGAACATATCGCACAATTTTGTGGGATATGTGGGCAAAGTGGGTGTCAAGAGACGTCTTCCCTTCCCCAGCTTCAAAGTTGTTGTATTCCAACAAGCTCAAGTTGAATACTTCATTAACCTCACTTAGGTATGTTAGAACTGCAGTGTTATGATAATGAGGACCATTGTCTGTGGATATAATGTATAATAAGTGTTAGAATCATTTTTATTGCATTATAAAAATAATAACGTATTTGAAAGTGGAATTAGATGTTGATCTTCCTGGCATTAAAATATATGCATGAAGAGAAATAAAAAAATAAATGCAGTATTAGATCGTTATAACAAACAAAGAAAACCTGACAATGCAGTTCTGCAACTGGCGTCTTTCCACACGTGATTGTTGGAATGTATTTAACCTAAACAAAGAGCCAAATGTGCCTTATTCTTGTTGTTCAAAATTTACTCCCATAAGCCTTGAGAGCTCTTTTCAAAACCCAGTTAACTTTTAAGTTAAATGTTTAAATGTTTCTGGAAGCCCATGAGCTGGTGACAGATTGCAAGAGTAGTGCCTATCCCTTTAGATCACTGAAGTATCTGGATCAGGTTTTACGTACAGTATGTACATGTATAGAGCGTTTTAACGTGATGTCATGGCGGCCATATAGGTGTCTCAAAACAATGAGACGGCGGTCAAGATAGTGTCCCACACTAATCACGGGGAATTGAACTCTTCTCTCATGTAAACACTTTCCTTTGTTCCAATAAAGTTACACAGCTGCTGGTCAAGTGAGTGAAAACACTCTATATGTTGTAGTTCAATTTTATCCTTGGTTCAACTTTTATTTTCCCTTGTTTTCTCTGTGTTTTTTGTTTAATATATTTTAATAAATATATCAAAGAAAGATGAAAAATAAACCAGTGAAAAAATGAAACTACAACATATATATAGTGTATGTAACATTTCACTATTTAATTTATAGTGTATGAATGTAACATGTAGTGGAAATAAATTGCACACATACCAGAAAATAGATAAACAGAGAATCCTGGGAAGGCCCTCTCAAGCCACGTAAAACAGACATCTAATGCACTTTGGGTAAAGAAGGCATCTTGTTTGGTATCTTCTGACCACAAGTCAAACACCTCACAGTTTTTTTCGTTTTCTCCAATCTGTGCAACAATGTAACATCCATGCAGTGATATCCCCCTCTTCCCATACCAATCACGCTGAATCTCACGGGTCCTTTTCCCAAGTTCCAATTTCATCTTATAGTCAATGACCATAACGCACTCTCCAGGCTTCAAATTCTTCAAAACAAATTTGTAGTAGTCACCTTGATGTTTGGTACGCAGAAGGTGACCCAAATAGTCAAAGTGCACCTTATACACTTCTTCTAGTCTGGCTTTTAAATCATCCTTGGCAGAAACATCACTCATGGACTCAATTGATTGCATAAGGGAACTATGCACATCATAAATTAGAGAAATGTCAGTTAGAACTGAGCTGTGCTCTTCTGAACAGGAATCAAACGCATGTGACAAGCAAAGTTCGAGGCAAGGAGAATGCTTCTGAGCAAGTTTAGGGAATGTTGTCTTCAAAAATTTCTGATAGCGTCTCACATCCTTGGAGAGGGCTGATGCATTGACATCAGAGCAACTGGATGACACCTCGGAGATGATAGCACAGAGTTCATCAAAATTGGAGTATCCAAAATCATCACACAAGTTACACAGACCTGCCAACATGGTGTTCATTCGAAAATTAATTGGCAGGTGTGTGTAAATGTAGGTCCTCTTCACTCCATTAGGGAATTCCAGAAGGTACTGGTTAATAAGTCCCTTGACTGTATCCTGCCAGTACCTCACAGCTGTCTCCTCGCCTTCAACCAAGACACTCCGGCATGACGATGGCCTTGATATATCATCTCTATGGAGAAATTCGCAAAGTTCCTTTAACACTTCGGAACTAACACATTGACGGGTAAATTTGAATTTGTCCATGGGGACACCCCCACGCCCAAATAAAATGCAATGTACTCTAGCGGCGGTGACCATTTTCGAAGAACAATTGAAGAGTTTTTCTAGTACTGAATATGAGTAATCTGTTGCAACAATTGACAAAAGTCTTCTCTTTTCATCAGAGTAACTTCGAATCCTGCCAAGATCTTTAGCTGCATCAACGCGCGATTTGAAAACCTCTGAGGTTGCCCCACTCAGAGAAATTCTACTGTCCCTCAAAGTCTGTCCAATCAAAATTTTCTGGGTTTGCTTTGCTGATCGAAGTCGTACCGCTTTACTCAAATCTTTGTCCTTGCAGCGTTTGTATTCAGCTGCAAGGTTAGTGAGGAAGATACTCTCCTGGTCAACCTTGTTGTGGCAACTTCCAAATGTGGACTTCCACTTTTTGCAATTCAACAAATCGTTCACAAATTCAGGTATGTCTTTCGCGTTATAATGCACAAATTTGTTAGCACAGTCTTCAACAACCTCGATGGTCTTTGACCTCATAACTTGCTGAGTCCTTTTTTCCGCGTCCTTGTACGGTCGTAAAGGCAGTTCCAAAACTTGCACATGTTTGGAGCTGGAAAACGAAGGTAGACTGCTTGGTGAATATTCGGTGTTGTCAATTTCACCTTCGCCGACAACTGGTACATCGCACATATCTTCCGTGGTGTACTGACTGGCTTGTTGATCCTAAATAACAAACAGATAAAATAATTAATAAAAAAAATTAGCACGTATTCCATAAACTAACCTAAGAGACGTAAGTTTATGTGTGCGAAAAAATCAGATACAAGCTTATCGAACGACAGAGATGTCTGAAACATGAGAAAACAAAACATGGCAATTGTAGAAGTATAAACGTACCTCGAGTCGCATGCACTTTATTTCGGCAGCAAGTCTTCCACGGCAAGCTAAACATATCTTTCTTTTTCGGCCTTTGTTCTTCGAACTATCAACCTCGCAAAACCTTAGCTCCTCAGGATCTGCAATTCGTAATGCATCAGGCGATACATTTCCATGGCTCCAGGTGCTGTGTTTCGTGCACACGCAACGAGCGGTGAACACCATTAGAAGAAAAAATGTACGAGAAAAAGTGAAGATACCAGCGGATTTCAAGCTATATACACTATTTACATTATATACACTATTTACAAAATTGCGAAGACCGCTAAACGACGAAATTTTTTAAGAGAAAGCAGTACGTGAAGATCCAGTAACAACGGCGGCCATTCAAGTCAGAACAAACTTAACTTCGGAAAACCGACTTCCGCACATACGAATCGTCCGAGAATTGGCCGAGAGTTGGAACAATAAGATATCTACCATAAAAGGCATTAGTTTCGGCCCAAATCGTGATTCTTCGTGATTTATCGTAAAAATGATGTTTTTGACCAATGAGAGTGGCGGAAATTAATTAATTAATTCAATTAAAATGGATCGTTCTGCACATGCGTTGCGTTTCGCCCCTTTCCTTCTTACGCGAACCATTACTTAACATCACTGCTACTCACCATCAAAGTGGGCGTTGTTCCAGCAACGCAGGCTTCTGATTGATCATTAACCAACAGATGTTAATTTGCGTTGACAACGGGATTAATTAAAATTTCCGTCACTGACAAGTCGTTGACAAGTCGTCATTTGTTCAAAACGCTCTCATAACACTCACACCCGTTCGCCCCCAGGTCCCCCATCCCATCGGCACTGATGCGTAATGTTCAAAATATGAGGATTTGTATGGAAGAAAAAAATAATTGTTTCTGTAGCCTACTAATGTGAAACGATTTAACTAAAAATCAGCTAACCCCGCTTAAGATGTTTGTTTCTTCTCTCCTGTGTGGTTTCCGAGTCGATTTACGGCCTTTTAATCGGTTTTAGGGGTTTGCAGTCTCTCTATAATTACAGAAGCATTTTGTCAGTTTGCCCTAAACAGGGTATGGATTTGTTTGTCCTAAACAGGACAGGAAAGGGTTCAAGCTGTCGGCGGCTCACCTATACCGAAACCGGCTAGCCTGAGAGTTGTGCATCTTGATATGGCGAGAAGTCACGCGCGAAATGAGAGTGTTTACTTCCCGGGGCTTACTTGCAGCTATGCATGGAGTACAAAAACGCAGCAGCTTCTTTTATATTTATTCTTGTGCACCTCAAACGTAATTTTAGTTAAGTACATCACTTCCTTATAGTTCGCTTTTTGGGCGTTTCGTGATCCAGGCATTTATTTCCGGAACGTTTAACACACGATTGTAGTGTTTCTCCAACAGCGGAAACTTCTTGAGCGGTTCAGGAACAGTTGGTTCACCCTTGGAAAGAAAGCTGTTGCAAAAGTCAAAGAACAGGATGTCGGCAGAGGTCAGCTGCAGAAAAGAAACAAAAAAATATTGTTATGGCTTTGCAGGCATGGCCTATTTCTCTTCCGTTAACGGTCTTTCCCTTTTTTAACGGTCCAAGCCACCACTGGTAACCAACCCCCCCTTTAGTCATGATAGACACGGACATTTTCTATGGCATCCTCAGTGTCCGTATTGACCCTTTAAACCCTAAGATCAAAATTTGAAATGTCTTTTGTTGGTCCTATTCATTTCCTACAGATATAGTGGGGGAAGTTGATAAAATATCAAGCAAATTCATCTTGTGTGATCCGTGTCCGTAATTCTCATGACCACACTCTGTTTTACGAAGCATTGATAATTACAAAGAGAAATTTGATGTTGATCACACTTGGGACTTTTAAAGGGTTAACGGGGTTTGACTCTGCTTGATTGCCTCATTCCGAAATCACCCCGCGCCACGCCTTGTAATTCTTCTAATCTTACCTTTTCGCCTAAAAAGAAGGCCTTGCCCCCATCCCTGCTTTTAAGAATAGCATCAAAATTTTTAAGTTCATCAGGAAGTGTAGTTTCGAAAAATTTCTTCGTTGATTCTTCCTAAAAAACAAAACAAAAGTTAGAGATCATTTCCTCACGGGACTGAATCCTAAAATATAGGAAAAAGAACCACGGCAGTTATATGTTGGGCGCGCTAGCGTGCTGCAATTTAAGTCGCGGCAAGGGTGAGCTACGTTAGGATGGGTCGGTGACCGCTGAGAGTGTTTTAATCTATATCTGTAAGTTTCTTTCTTCTTTCTTAAGTATCACATTTGGACTGAGACATTGTCATGGGTAAAGCGTTTCTTGATCCAGGCTTTGAACTACTAGTTAATAATTGAAGAGCGTTTCGAAGCCCTTTTTTCATTACAATGTTGCTAAGGCAGAAGTGTCCCTTTACTGACACACCGCTTCAAGCACAGGCTTTGTCAGTTTGCTGACACTTCCACTCAATTTTGGTCTTCCAGAAAACACTACATTGCACAAGGAAACAACGCTCAAGTCTATTTCGGAATTACTGGATGAAGCGTTTACCACAAGATTCGAAGCCAAGTGTAGACAATGACACGCGATATTCTCTCGCGGAATCAATCAAAGAGCCTACGGGCGTGAGAGGCTCCCCCTTACACAAAAACTCTTCCTCACTGATTGCTCCAAAATAATAGCAAATGAAGAGCTTGCTCGCAGGCTAATATAAGGTATGCAAAACGGTCAATTCGTATTTTTAGCGTCTCTCCCCAGTCTCACTCTCTGTTTTCAGACATACTAAATTCTGCAAGCAGAATACTGCAATGCTGATCGTACTGCGTGAAAATTAACTCCTCAAGACATCAACACGACACCGAAAGAACTCAAAACAGAGCGGGATTGTAGCCATAGACAGCTGTTTCGCCCTCGTTGGGGATAGTCAGTATGGCGTAACAACCAATTTTTCAAAGGTCATTTTTGTTATTTGATGCAATGCTTCAAAGACATATCTTGTTTGATTTGTCATACTCAAGTAATTTCTCAAGTTACAAACCTCGTTCCCAGGTTCCTCTCTGTCGTTCTTCCTGGGGGGCGATGAGCAGGAGAGGACTCTGGGAACAAGGTTGGTTAGACCAATCAACATTCAGACTTGGCACCGAGGCTCAGGAGAATAAATCAAAAGAAATAATCTTGAGGCTCAGCAATGAATACTATATTTCTTTTGTTTTATTCCCTGAAGAATTACCCTGTCGTACCACAAGTTTTTTCTCGCCTGCGACGAGGACCTTCGTTGATCGCAGGCCGACACGTCTTCTGGTCACTTTTTTAGTCTTAACCAAGACCGGAAACCGCGCACAAAAAGCCGCTGGCATCCAGGGTACCCAACCCTTGTTGCAAGGTCGGAATTTTAATGTACTGAAATTGGTCTATTAGCATTTCGGCCAAGCCATTACCTTCTTCTTTTCGTCTTTCTCAAAGTGTAGCTTGATCACAGCCTCAACCAAATCCATAGCTTCATCACCTATCGAATCCGCTGTCGCTTCATCGAAACTGTCAGCTGGGCACAGTCCTAAAAACCATAAAATAAAGACGAAATGCAGAAAAAGAAAGGATTTCCTATAAAAAGCATACCCTGCGAGCAGAGTCAAGGAAGATCGAAGGAGACTCTGCTCGCAGGGTAAAAAATGCAATGCTGATGATGCATTTTAAGTTCGTTAATACGTTGGGAAAGCTATTTTTCATAGATTCTGTGGCTAATGATTGACAAGCAGGCGCGGATCGACACCGGTTGCCACCATTTTACATCGGTCAAGTTGCTGGACCATCTTGCCCGCTGGGGATTTCCCACGTTGGTCCAGCAAGAAAAAGTTATCTTTATGACGGCCATGTAATAGATCATTTATTGACCGAGATTGCTATTTTTCAGCCAAGGTAGCAGGAATATTAGCCTTGTTTAGTTCTTTTTTGCGTTTTAATTGACCCAGACGGAGTCGGAGTTCATAAAAACGCAAAAAAGAAAAACGTGGCCAATAGACTTTTGCCCAGGCGGCGGCCATTTTGTCTTAGCAGATTTAAAAAGCTTTGTTTATGCACGGCTGGCCTCTTTGTCTCTACAAGGCTAGCCGTGCATAAACAAGGCTCCTGAGACAAAATTGCCACAGCGTGACAAAGGTCTATTTCCTGCCATCTTGACTTCACGCTTGGTCAACACGGTACTATATTATTTTACTCTCTCGGGCGTCCAATCAGAGCAAAGAATTCCCTTCGTCTAGCTCGCTTACAAAGCCATTCATTTTTAAAACATCAATCTCTTAAGCATACCAGGACATCAACTGCACGCCTAGCTACACCTCGCCTTTAAACTGGCCCCCGGAAATTTTTGAGATTGAATTTAGTTACTCATGCCAACCAATAACCCTTGTTGATAAATCACCTCCTTTCTTGCAGATATATTTAGTAACTGAACCAGACTGTCCCAAGATTTTTCCTTCAGGAGTCACAAGGTAGGGCAAATGACCAAAAGGCGGTCTGCCAGCTGAAACAAAAAAAGAAAACGGATAAAAAAAGAGATGAACATTTCTTTACAAACACTACATTGACTCGTGCGCATTGCGAAATAAGGCGTTTTAGTTTCAATTCCCGTCGTTGGCGGCCGTGGACACTCCCGGGCCACTGTCGTTCGCAAAACGGAGATGTCAGCCAATGCAAAAACTAAGTTGTCAAAAATGTCTTTTTTAAAAAGTTCCCGACGTAAATACGAGATAATAGTCGAACAGACATCGATGATATTTCCTCAACTTTCCACCTTTTGCTTGTTTCAACCAGTATGGTAAGTCGTATTGCTTGTTTTGTTGGACTCGTTTTGGTCGTTCCGGCCGTTTCGTTCAAACACACGTTAAGTTTAGGTGCTTCGTTTGGTTCGTTACGTCCGTTTCGCTCGTTTCCTTTTGATGATTTTGTTTTCGGTTGCGCATGCCCACCGCGAAAAACAAAAAACAACAGTCTCAGAAATGTGATTGAAAATATATTGGTCATGTTTGCCGTTGTGAACACTATGCCGTGATGTGAACACTGAGTCCATTGCGAAGTCAAAGCGTCCATATCAACGGGACCCTTGGATAAATATCGCTAAATTATTGAAACAAGCAAGGAGGTGTACGCAAGATAGGAGTGGTTTCGCTGCATTGGTTGACCGTCTAGTCGCCAATGCAACTCAGTAACAAGATTTACTGATTTGAGGATTAAACTGTACTACATAATTTTATTTATATACTCAGCAAACACGAGTAAAGCTTACCTCGCGCGTAAGCCATGTTCAATCGAGCATACTGTTTTAAAAGGCTATTTAAGTGCTTAGAAAACTATAATAGCTTAAGTAACTGGAAAAAAGGGCGTGATTATAGTGGAAATCCACTTACATGCTTTCTCCTTCGCCCATTCCTCAAAAGGCAGCCTGGTGTCCTCGAAATCAATTTTAGCCGCTGCGAAAGCCAATCGAGTTCTTTCTCCTCGACCGCGGATTGGAAAGTAAACAAGCTTGTAGCCTGACATTTCTGCAGACGTTTCTGAAGATTCTTCACTGCACGCCCAAAACACACTTGCCCACTGAAGGTCTTAAAGAAATCGTGACTAAGCAGTTGTCGGTGTTTAATCAGTTGTTAATATATTCAAACATACGCAAAAAATATAATGCCATCTGCGGTCAACTTTNACTCAGTAACAAGATTTACTGATTTGAGGATTAAACTGTACTACATAATTTTATTTATATACTCAGCAAACACGAGTAAAGCTTACCTCGCGCGTAAGCCATGTTCAATCGAGCATACTGTTTTAAAAGGCTATTTAAGTGCTTAGAAAACTATAATAGCTTAAGTGATTAGAAAAAAGGGCGTGATTATTGTGGAAATCCACTTACATGCTTTCTCCTTTGCCCATTCCTCAAAAGGCAGCCTGGTGTCCTCGAAATCAATTTTAGCCGCTGCGAAAGCCAATCGAGTTCTTTCTCCTCGACCGCGGATTGGAAAGTAAACAAGCTTGTAGCCTGACATTTCTGCAGACGTTTCTGAAGATTCTTCACTGCACGCCCAAAACACACTTGCCCACTGAAGGTCTTAAAGAAATCGTGACTAAGCAGTTGTCGGTGTTTAATCAGTTGTTAATATATTCAAACATACGCAAAAAATATAATGCCATCTGCGGTCAACTTTCACTGAACCGTGCCATGTTACGCAGCATTAACTATGAACCTTAAGCAAAAATTAGAGCATATCTAGGGTACCAAAAACAATATAAAACGCTTGATTGAAATAACGAGTCGACACAGGTGCTTCAAAGACTGTATGGTTGTATTGCGTGACGCGCTTGGTACATTACTTACATTGGTGCTGAAACAATAGCCTTTTATGGTCTCATTCGGGCTGTTATGATCACTACCGGGTAACCGGTAGCAATGTTCCTACTGCTCCTACCCATAAAATTTCTCTTAAAACATCGGAGAAAGAATTTCACTGGCTAAAGAAAGTACGCGGTTCCTATGAAATCTCCCCGGGGGTACTCTCTATATTGCTCTATAGGGGGAGGCTCCACCAGAAAGGAGTAGGGATTTCACTATATGAAAAAAAAAAGAGGCATTTCGGTCTGTAAAAAGGGCCAAAAGAGCTACCAGATGCATTTTACGGCTGCAAAAAGGTCAAGAAAACGTTCTGGTGTGCATGGTGCATTCATGTTTTAAGAACAGTGCATTTACAGCAGCAGGAGCCCATCCATAAAAGGGATCGACGCAAAGTTCTAGACAAGGTATGTGAAAGGGGTACCATTTGTCAATAGAAGGTATACGAAAGGCGTACCTGTTCTGTCGAAAATGGTATATAAAAGGCCAAGGGGTTGGACCTAGGGGCGAGCCTCCCCGAATAACCTTTACTAAGTACCCCCCACGGGATTGTCTCGACTCGGTACACAGGGTCCAGAGGAGATGTGTTGTCGTTAGAACATCAAAACCCGTCGAAAACCTCTAAAAAAAATGGGTTATTTTGATCGCGTTACAGTTTCGTTACACTTTCTATAGACCGCAAACCAAGAGACTAAGGGCTCGCAAGATCGGCTTACAGTATAAAATACGGTACCAGAAAAAATTTTCCTCCCCTTGGGAATAACCACCTATGGTCAGGTGTTCTATTTTTTCGGAGAAGCCCGAAAGTCGGCGGTCTACCAAAGAAGAGACTAGGGAGCGTCTGTCTGATCGCAGGTTATTAAATTAATGTAGCAACATAAAACTTTCTACAGTGCCAGTCGAAACGGCGATCGCTTAATATTTTCTGCTCGAAATTTTGCCGGCAGAACTCATCCAAGCCGATAGTTGCAATTGGGTTGCCCTCTCCTTATTTTAGAGGCGCTTTGAAAATGCCGTGAAGGCAGTGTGGCCGGCCATTTTGAATGTCGTCACAGATTCCACGGATTCATTTTCCATAAACATATACCCCTTGGCTAATAATAGTCCATTTCCGAGTTACAAACCTCTCACTTTCAAAACGAGGCCAAGTGCTAAACTTTTGTGGTAGAAATGAATTTAATTTGCGTGAGAATAAAAAAAAATCATCTTTATATCCTGATTGGCTTCACGCTTAGACTCGCTTTGAAATAGAGGCTTGAAACAATTCCGAAATGGCCGACTGTTAGTCACATTTCCAAGGGAGTTACCGTATTTATTCGATTAACCGCCCTCGGCGCTTATTAAATTTTTGGACCTTGAGACTGGGCGCTTATTCGAGGCTGGGCGCTTGTTAAATTTTCACCATTTTCAGCAAGTGAAGTATGTTTATTTTGCAACATGAAAACAATTAATGCTAATATTAACAAAACGCGAAGAAGTAACAAAGCAAGGTTTCTGTATAACACTCTGAGTAAAACGCCGTCCTCGGTTAAGTCTCTTTTTAGAATTTATTCACCCAAGTGGGTGGGGTGGGGGTAAGCGCTTGTTTGAGTTTGATTGGGAGGAGGAGTGGGTGGGTGCTTATTCGAGGCTGGGCGCTTATTAACTTTTTCTGCCTTTAGGATGGGCGCTTATAGGAGGAAGGCGCTAATTCGAGGTTGGGCGCTTATTCGAATAAGTACGGTACTCGTGGATGGGAATTAGCTTTGCATATCTGCACTGTCACCAATAGACCATAATTATTTTTTATTGGAACCTTTTGAGATGAAAATCTTCAAAAGATCTGTCAAGGATTACTGTACATACGCTCAGTCGAGAAAATTACCATTGCTTATATATTATTTGTACTTGTTAAAAATTACACCAATGAGAACTGTACAACAGACAATGTGTATAATATACTTACACTGTTTCTAAATCATAACTGCTAAGCTTTTTAAATAATGATTGTCATTTACCCAGTTGTTCAAAAGTTGGATTTTAGCGCTATCTATCGGATAAATCGTATCCAATAGACCTATTCGGCTAACTCAAAGCTGTGCACAATTCAAATCTCCCGTGGCTAAGATTCTTTGTGTATAGTAATTGCATTATAATGTGGCATTCACATTTAAATGATATTCCTTGAGCTGTATTCCAGATTCCACAAGCAAAAATTTCCTGGATTCGTGAATCCGGATTTCGTCGTTGAGAAATGAGGCGACAGATTTATCCACTAGACAGCGCTATTTTCGTTTTGAACTATACAACGTATACACTCCAGCCTTAAACAAGGCCATGAAATTATCAGATTTTTACCAGTAACCTACACCGTACGGTACAGAAATCCCACCTATATACCTTCCTTACATCTAGTAAGGTCTAGTAATGATTCGCTGGTGAGGAAATCTGACAGCTGATCTGAAAATATGAGTTTTGACGTTTGTTTTTGGTAAAGGAAGTCTGTAAGCAACAAACTCGCTCAATCGCGTGCACATATCAGGAAATTGTGCCCGAAAAGCCCTGTAAAGGGAGACTCACTAAAACGTATGTATGTATGTAGGGAAAGAGTGGTTCCCGAGAATTTTATATCCCACTGTCGTTAGTTCAGAAAGAGGAGGAAAAATTCGTTGCGGTGTGTTTACGTTTTTTCGTAAACGTCACGTTGCGTTTCACGTGCTAGTCGTGCAAACACGGGAAAGAAATGTACAAAAGTGTGCTGCACGTGCAGAGATGTTGTTTTGCATAATAATTAAGTCATTGCTTTTTTCACCTCGTCGTTGCCGTCGCCAAAGCATGGTTGCTCAAGCACCGCTGCATGATTCATACGTACGCTACTTCAAGGTAAGAATCCAAACTTCAATCTATGAGCATGCCAATGAAATATTTACTTCAACATGAAAGCTTTTAAGCTGCACTTCAAGCTCAAATTACATATACTGTCAGCACATTATAGCTTCGAATGTGTGGTCTCAAGCCTCGTGTAAACGGACACAACATTGTTGGCAACAACTCGCAGCATTGCTGGGAGTTGTTGCGTCCGTTTGCACACAGCTAAAAGTTTGACCGGTTTCAAACTTTGCGCAACAACCCCCAACAACACGCAGCAACATGCAACAGGGAGGGAAAAAGGACGCAACGTGTAACATGCAACCATGTTGCATCCGTTTGCACGGGACTTAACGAAATCTAAATGCACGTAGAATTAAAGTGTGTTGCGCCCTATGACATTTTCATTTAATAGTCTGTACATAAGAAGGCTCTCAGCGTTTAAACATATAACTATAGTGAGTGTTGTAGCTAATATCGTTTAAGAAAAGCTACTGATAACTATTTTCCACACTATTGCCCCTCATTTCTTCCCAGGTTAAATTAATATTTTGTACCTGACTGTAGAAGAATTCTTTTTTAATTTGGCCGGAATGTATCGTCATCTTCCTTGTCCCGGATTACGAACAGCCTCCAATTCTTTCTCAGCCCGTCAAACGAAACACGCGCAAGAAAAAAGGTCACGCGTGTGACGAGAGGAATGAGACACGATCCTCGCTTCGAAAGTTTACGTGTGCCACTATACTAACTATGGAGTTACTACTATCCGATATGTGATGATCCACTTTTAAGATCGACACGGTGATGCTTCGCTCCATTTTAGAAAGAGCGCCAGCCAAAACCACTGTTATCATGTGTGAACAAAAGCCCTAAACGATAGGATTTTTGCTTAATTAACTTAAACATGACAACAGAGTAAGATATGTTCTCCCTAACTTCTGGGACACTGTGGTTAAGGAACATCCTCACGTGATCGCTCGGTCTAAGTAGTAAACACTCTCACAATTGGCGTCAATAGGCCTAATTTTGTTGAAAAGGCGCATCGCGCCTAAAATAGATAACTTTTTGTGACATGTCATATTCCCTACACTATTTACACCTGGTCGTTTCTATGAAATCCATAGTATAACCGAACACCATGTATGAAAAAAAGGTCAATACTTTAACCCCACTACTAGTGCTCTTGTAACTGTTGCGCACTGTAAGACGTATGATGAACCGGTGGAAGCGGTTGTTGATGATGCATATGCATAGCTGGTAATGATGGATCCACAGCCGGGGGCTGAGGTGGGTGTGGTTGGGGTGGTAGCTGTCTGGGTAAGGGCTGCGTCGCTTGTTGGAGTCTTTTTGTTAGGTCATCTATTCTTAAATCCTTTAGGTGAAGTAAGTGCTCTAGTCTTCGAATTTTCACATTTAAAATCTAGAAAGAAATTATTACAATGATCATGACTAATTGTCATTATAAATTGATAAGAATGAATAACAATTATTATTGATATTTATCAGATATAATCTTAAAAGCCAGTTACTAAATTACTAGTTACTGGTTTCAAACGCATTCGCCCCTGAACCGCCTGTAACCGTCCATGCCAGTTCAAGGGTTAAGGACAACTTTGTCACCTAGCTTATGAAGGGCGAAGAGATCTTTCAGACTATTCCAGAATGAGCACGATTTGGTCAAGGGCGCCGGATAAAAAGGCAAAAAAAAATTTGTAAAGTTGACCCGAAAATTTCAGGAAAATTTTGTTCCATTACCTATCTGCACTTGCTTTCATCTAATCCTTCGATCCTAAAAACTTTTCCCACGAAATCAAGGCTAGTAAATGCTAAGCAAAAGGAAAAAAAATGGGGCAAGACAGGCTAAAGAGGAAGAGAGAAGAGAAAGCAAAAAGTAAAAGTCCAGACGGCTGTGTCACGTTTAAACTCAAAACCCGTCGAAATTTTTGTTTCTACGTATGCCTAAACTTCTGAAGCTTATATTTTGCATCTGGAACAGAAAATCGCGAAGTGCTCGACCTATGAACGGCGTTTTGGGCATTTTAGCGTACCTGAACAGTTTCTTGGGAGGCAAGCAAGGCTTGTTCTTTTTCTTCCAATAGCAATCTTGTATTTTGAGAATCTCCAGTTGTACCATTTACGTCTTGGTATGACTGGGAGCGTGGCACTTTCCTGCAGACAAAACAATCAACATGAATACTACGCTGCGAGCAGTGGTTTCTCCAAGGTGGACGCTACGCTACGCTACGAGAAGCAGACAACCACTGCGAGCGACCGTTTGCTTTTCTATCGAGCATGCGCGTCCACGTGACCTTTACGCCAAACGTCAAATGACATGATCCCTACACGCATTCCAAAGCTCATAAATTTTCTCCGTTTAAAAATTTTGTATTAAGAGTTTATAAACGAAATGACAATTTGGCCGCCCTTTGTTTCCCTGTTTTCCTCTGCTATGCAACAAACTCACCCTTTTCCTTGATTAACGGGAGCAAGTTTTGTCTTTTCACCCAGGGGTCCAGGAATGGCTGCAGCCCTTCCATCTCTGTTCTTAAACCGAGCATTAGCCCCACCTCGGGGACTGTCGCCACCTTGCTTGTCTGGTGGACGTGCCTGGTAGGGCACTGCTCCATGTGGACCCATCACCTGCTGAAAGAAAAACGTGTTAAAGCATACGTGTTTCTGAAAAACAAACCATTGGAATTGCAGGCACATATTCATACACAAACATCGCTTTAAGTGGACGCCAAATTCAATTCTCACCCTGTACCGGTAGTCGAATCGTAGCAATTTCGAGACTGTTTTATTCAAACAAAAAGTTATGCGAGTGACGAGAAAAATTAACGGTTTTCTAGGAGACAACTTGACACTACAGACGATACGATAGGATGTAGGCTATGATTGGACGGCGTGTGATAGGATAATTTGGCGTGAAACAGTTCCAGACGAAGGAGCCATAGCTGTGATTGGCTTAAATCGGGAAAGGAGTGCGGTTCGAATATGAGCAGCCATTTGTTGGGGAGGCGCGTTGCGTGACAAGACAAGAACGGCTGCGAGTAAGCGGCCATAGCCTGTTCAAAGACCCTCTTTTTTCTCTTTACAGATTGTCGCGCGCTCTTATTGAAACAAAAACCAAAGAGTGGTTTATTGACCGCAAGCGCAAGGAAGTGGGGGTGGGGAAAGGAGGAAATAGACGTCTGTGGACATCTTTGAAAGCAACTGCAACTTACTTTTACCAGAAAAGCAGCAGGCGTAAGCGACCAGTACTTAAAGTCCCAAAATGAATGTAAAAAATAATTGTAAATTAGACCTCTATTAGAACTCTAAACAACTCTGGCAATTTTTAATTGCACCTAACCTTCAATTATTCCTGCAGTTCTTGGCAGGCTCTTCTCCTCTTTGAGTTTTTAATGTACAGTGTACCTCCCACATTGGTGTGTTTTATAACACCACAAGTAACAAAATGTTTAAAACTTTTAAAATTTTGGATTGACTGTACTTACATCATTTGTTGCAATTGGTTGCTGCCCATAACCAGTATTAAATGCATAACCATAGTTGTTCTCT